GAAGATAGACGCACAAGATCCGCGGTGACGGCCGCGAAGACGGACATACCGTGTCCACGACCAGGGTTGCAGGAATGGCGCAGCCTCCTTCCTCCTTCAGCTTCCTGATCTCCTCGGCTGAGACTGGGCAACGGATCATCTCGTGGAGCGCGAGGAGGCAGGCCTGCAACCCATCAGCTGCGCCGCATGCTGCGAGCAGCCCACAGCCAGACGAAGACCTCTATACGCAAGCTTGCGCGTTGGCCGCGATGCCAGCCGCGGCGCCCGGGGACGGCGGCCCGCGAGAGGCGGCGGCGGCCGAGGCGGGCCCGCACCAGCGGCAGCAGCGCCCAGGCAGGCAGCAACCGCAGCCCCAGCCAGTTGCACGCCGCCGCCGCCGCCCGCGGCCAGGCCGCAACGGCAGCGGCGCCAGCCGCCAGCGCGGCAAGCCTTGCAGAGTACGCCAGAGCCGCGGCGGCCGGCAAGAGGCCGACGGCAGCCACCGCCTCGCAGACGGCCGCGGCATCGGCGCAAGCGGCTGCCGCGTCGGAGCACAGCGGCCCGGCGGCCACAGCCGAGGCCGCCGCGCCGGCGTCGCAGGAGATCCCCGCAGCAGCAGCGGCGGCAGCGGCGGCAGCCTCCGAGAAGAGATCCGAACCCGCCTGCCCAACGACCGACGACGGGTAAGCAGCGGCAGCACGAACCGCTCCAGACACCCCGGCAGCCACCAACCCGGCCGCTCCGACGGCCTCAGCGGCACCGGCAGTTTCCGGGACCAAGCGGGACGCGGCGGCCAGGGCCGCCGAGAAGGCCGCAGCGGCCGCGGCAGACAGAGCGGCCCCAGGGAGGGCCGCGGCGGCCACGGCGACGGCAGCGACTGCAGCCGCCAAGGCGGCGCCGGCGGGCGCCGAGGCCGCAGCGCCGTCGGCCGCTTCAGTAGAACGGGCCGCGGCACCCGGGGCGGCAGTCGCGGCGCCCGCAAGGACAGCGTCGCCAGGCGCGACGGCGGCCCCGAGGCAATCAGCGCCAGCTTAGGCCGCCGCGTCCACCCGCGCCGGACGGGGCGGCCGTGGCGATTGCATCCGACGGCAGCGCGGACGCCAGCGGAGCGCCTCGGCGGCTGGCCGCGAGGCCAGGCGGCGCAACGCTGGCAGCCGCGGCAGCGGACCTGCTGGCAGCCGCACGCCGCTGGCGGCGGCGCACGACAGACCAGGATTCCATGGGCACGGGGGGGCGGGCCGCACGGGGGGAAACTCTGTCATTGCCCCAGCACAGGCAAGTCGGCGGTCAAAGGGCCGCCGGCCCCGCGGCGCCAGCCGCTGCGGCTCCCCTTGAGCCAAACTGGTCTGAGCCAAAGGGGGTACGAACACACATACACACACACACACACTCTTTGCGTCGGCGGTTAGGCAGAGTCACTGCGCTGGCGACAGACGCGTGGTGTGGTGCACGGAACGCGAATTAGGCCACCATGCAAGAGGAGGAGGAGGAGGAGGAGGAGGAGGAGGAGGCGCCCGACGGCGGCGGCGGGCGAGGGAGAAGCCGGGCCCGCTCACAGCAGGGCCAAGCGCATAGCAGGGGGGGCGCCGGGGGGGAGCCAGCGGCGGCAAGCCGACAGCCAGCGGAGGGGGGCCGGGGGCAGCTGCGGGGCAGCGAGCCATGGCGACGAGTCAGGTGCCCAGCTGGGGCTGAGGCAGAAGGTAAACGCGGACAGAAACGCCGGACTACACACTTTTTGGTCTGCGGGTCGAGAGCGAGCCTCTTCCGGTTAAGAGCTCCGCCAGACTACACACACACACGTATACATACACGAACACACACACACACACACACACACACATTGGGCTAATTGACATCCTGAGGTTCATCGAAAAGAAATGGGCGGCAGGTGAGAACAGTGGGAGAGTACCCGGCCGGCACGAGGCGAAGAGGAGGCAAGGAGAAACGGTAGGAGGCGAAAGGCAGCAGCAGCAGCACGAGGCGGAAACAGCCAGAGCAGCAGATGAGAGGCGCCACTATACATCCGATGTCTTGCTTTTCTCAATACGAGGTCCTCTGAAGTTTGAAGTCCAAGCCCTTTCCCCGAGGCAGGCCGTTCATCCTGAATCGTTCTTCGACGGTCCCGGACCCCGGCGAGGGCACGCGGAGAACGAAAACAACGAAAAACCGCCGTCCCCATGATCGTCCATCTACTCCGAGTTTCTTAATAAGCGTCGAGGGGGCGTCACCCCCGCCGACAGCCCCACGTCGACCCCCGTCGCGGGTAGCCGAGGCGCGCCGAAGGCGCTCCGACCCTCGTCGCGGCGCGACGACGAGGCGAGGTTGACCCCGGTCGGGGGGGCACCCCCCCAACGAGCATTGAGAAGCCCAGAGTACGCTGAAGGCCCCGGAAGCGAAGCAGCAGGCGAAGAGCAGCAGCAGCAGCAGCACGAGGCCGAGGAAGCGAGAGGGGCGCTGTCCTGGAGGCTGCGCCGCGCCTGGGGCTGCGGGCGGCCCCGGCCGGGGAGGCAGCAGCGGCGCCTCGTCGACCCCGCCGGACTCTGCTCGCACGCTCGGCGGGGGGGCTGTCTTCCCCCCACCTCCGCCCTCCCCCCCCCCCAATAGACCTCCTCTCGTCGGAAAAACACGAAACAAAATTATCCCGGCAAAGCAACCTAACAGCGATGTGTAGGAGCATATCTGGAAGCATTCCCCTTCAGATTCAGATGAGAATCCAGTTGTAGAATTCTGGTGTTCTCGCAGTCGTAGTCGCATTCGCGATGACAGTCACAGTGGCAACGGCAGTCGCAGTCACAGCCTCAGCCTCAGCCTGCCTCAGCCTCAGCCTCAGCCTCAGCCTCAGCCTCAGCCTGCCTCAGCCTCAGCCTCAGCCTGCTTCAGCCTCAGCATCAGTCTGCCTTCAGCCTCTCAGCCTGCCTCAGCCTCGGCCTCAGCCTCAGCCTCAGCCTCAGCCTGCCTCAGCTCAGCCTGCCTCAGCCTCAGCCTCAGCCTGCCTCAGCATCAGCCTGCCTCAGCCTCAGCCTCAGCCTGCCTCAGCCTCAGCCTCAGCCTGCTTCAGCCTCAGCCTCAGTCTGCCGTCGGCCTCGGCCTCAGCCTCAGCCTGCCTCAGCCTCAGCCTGCATCAGCCTCAGCCTCAGCCTGCCTCAGCCTCAGCCTCAGCCTCAGCCTCAGCCTCAGCCTGCCTCAGCCTCAGCCTCAGCCTGCTTCAGCCTCAGCCTCAGTCTGCCTTCAGCCTCGGCCTCAGCCTCGCCTGCCTCAGCCTCAGCCTGCCATCAGCCTCAGCCTCAGCCTGCCTCAGCCTCAGCCTCTCAGCCTGCCTCAGCCTCAGCCTCAGCCTGCTTCAGCCTCAGCCTCAGTCTGCCTCAGACCTCGGCCTCAGCCTCAGCCTGCCGAGCAGCCCTTCAGCCTCAGCCTCAGCCTCAGCCTTGCCTCAGAATCAGCAGCCTGCCTCAGCCTCAGCCTCAGCCTGCTCAGCTCAGCCTCAGCCTGCCTTCAACCTCAGCCTCAGTCTGCATTCAGCCTCGGCCTCAGCCTCCGCCTGCCTCAGCCTCAGCCTCATCAGCCTCAGCTCACCTCGGCCTCCCTCAGCCTCAGCCTGCTGCCTCAGCCTCAGCCTGCCTCCTCGGCCTCAGCCTGCTTCAGCTCCTCAGTCTGCTTCAGCTTCGGCCTCGGCCTCAGTCTGCCTCAGCCTCAGCCTCAGCCTCAGCCTCAGCCTGCCTCAGCATCAGCCTGCCTCAGCCTCAGCCTCAGCCTGCTCAGCCTGCCTCAGCCTCAGCCTCAGCCTGCTTCAGCCTCAGCCTCAGTCTGCCTTCAGCCTCGGCCTCAGCCTCAGCCTGCCTCAGCCTCAGCCTCAGCCTCAGCCGCCTCAGCCTGACTCACCTCTGCCTGCATCAGAGCCTCAGCCTCATCAGCCTCAGCCTCAGCCTCAGCCTCAGCCTGCTTCAGCCTCAGCCTCAGTCTGCTTCATCCTCGGCCTCAGCCTCAGCCTGCTCAGCCTCGCCTGCATCAGCCTCAGCCTCAGCCTCACCTGCCTCAGCCTCAGCCTGCTTCAGCATCAGCTAAGCCTGCCTCAGCCTCAGCCTCAGCCTGCCTCAGCCTCAGCCTCAGCCTGCTTCAGCCTCAGCCTCAGTCTGCCTTCAGCCTCGGCCTCAGCCTCAGCCTGCCTCAGCCTCAGCCTGCATCAGCCTCAGCCTCAGCCTCAGCCTGCCTCAGCATCAGCCTGCCTCAGCCTCAGCCTCAGCCTGCCTCAGCCTCAGCCTCAGCCTGCTTCAGCCTCAGCCTCAGTCTGCCTTCAGCCTCGGCCTCAGCCTCAGCCTGCCTCAGCCTCAGCCTGCCTCAGCCTCAGCATCAGCCTGCCTCAGCATTCAAAATGTGGCCCGGGAATTAAGTTCTGGGAACTCGAAGACCACGAAGTGGCCTACAGTTGGCTCCGGGCATTCAAAATGTGGCCCGGGAATGGAGTTCTGGGAACTAAAAGAGCACGAAGTGGCCTACAGTTGGCTCCGGGCACTCAAAATGTGGCCCGGGAATGGAGTTCTGGGACTTCGAAGACCACGAAGTGGCCTACAGTTGGCTCCGGGCATTCAGAATGTGGCCTGGGAATGGAGTTCTGGGATCTCGAAGACCACGAAGTGTGTAACTGTTTGCTTAAAACGACTTCCGCGGCTTCTCCCCGGCACCCGCCCAGACCCCCCTGGGGAGTCAAGATGCTCTTTTTTGACACTACTAGAAGCCTATCAGTCTTCGCTGTTAGGTAACAAGAACAAATATATATATATATATATATATATATATATATATGTGTATACACACACGCACGCAAAACCAAACAAAAATGCTTGGGCATGCTTTCGCCTCCAGGGGACCTCGCTGGGCCCTGGGGCCGTAAAAAACCCTGTTCGGGATGAAGAACTAGTCCTGTGAACGGGGGTCCATATCTCTGGGAGCGCACGTTGCCAAAGTACACGGCATGGGAGCTCTGGGCCCTCCCTCTCCTTCGAAGGGGAAGGAGAGAGAGGGGAGGGGAAGCGGAAGGAAATGGCGGGAAGGGGAAGGGCGGGAAGAGGGATGGAAATGGAAGGGTGCGAATGGGAAGGAAATGGCGGAAGGGGAAGGGCGGAAAGGGATGGGGGATGGTGGAGAGGGCTGGAATGAAAGGGAAATGGTGGGGAGGGAAGGTCAGGCCTGTTCTTCCCCCCACGATGGTCAAGGGGCCCAAGGACACACAAATAAATACACACAAATCCCAGGATTCCCCATGTTATCCATATTTTCTGGATTTTCGTCTTCCCCCCCACTTCCCATATTTTCCCATATTTTCCTGGGAGTCGACGATTAACTGTGTCTGTGTGCTTTTTCCTCTCCTGAAACATTTCCTTCCCCTTCCCGTGCTACCCCCCCCCCTCCATCCTGCGTGGTCCCAGCCCTGATCCTGCATACCATGACCCTCCTCTTAACCCATCCGATCATCCTGATTAGCCGAGACCCCTCCATCATTGGAATCCACCTCACATTCGTGTATGTCCTTCTCATGTGACATCTTGCGTTCTTCATCCCGCAGCAACTCGAACCCGCGATGTTCAATATCATCAGCATCATGAACATCATCATCACAAGCAGCGGTATCAGCATCAGCATCAGCATCGTCATCGTCATTGTCATCATCTACAACAGCATCAGCATCAGCATCAGCATCAGCAGCAGCAGCATCATCAGCTTCATCACCATCATTACCACCATCATCACCATCATCACCATGAAAACCACCACCACGACCACCATCATCATCATCAGCAGCATCATCATCACATCGGGATCTGAATCGCCAAGACCCACGTCATCCATCGTCCCCTCTTTCTCGCCATCCCTTCCTTGCTGTCTCCCGCTCCCTTCACCCTTCACAATTCCCCAACCTTGCGTCCCTCCTCGTCCTCCTCCTCCCCTGGAAAAGGCGCTGGGAAGGCCGTCGGCTACGGCGTCGGATGCGGCGTCGGGCACGGCGTCGGGTAGGCCGTCGGGTTGGACGCCAGGAACGACGTCGAGAGCCGTTCTGATGACAACTATCCTGGCAAGGCGACTGCTCGCGATAGAGATCGCCCCGAACCCTCTCGAGATCGCCACGACGACGACAGGTACGTAGCCTGGCAGCTTACCAGCGATGTCTGACGCGATGTCGGGCGGCGGTGGTTGAGCTCTGCCTGAAGGCCCCAGCGGAGATGCACGTGCCACCGAACGCTGCTGGCCCAGCAGGGCCCCAAACGCTCTCGGGATCCAGCTCGCAGCGACGGCCGCATGGAGAGCACCGAGCCGCAGACCGCGGCGACGCCGGCGAGCACGCCGTCCGCCGCCGCAAGAGAGACGCCAGCAGAGTCGAAAACGCACTGGTAAGCCAAGATATATGTTCCGCCTTAGGCGCTCCCATATCCCAGGCTTTGGCTCATACCGCATGAGCAAGAGAGCAAGATGAAGCATGGGATCTGGAGTAAAGGATAGAAGGGGCATCTTCAATAGAAAAGTCTTGTCCGATCTCAGATGCGAGTAGTGCGCCTCGGTGAGGCACAATCACATGTTCGGCCGGGCCCGGCTTGAGCCAGGCACGGCAGCGGTGCATGCTCGATTTACATCTCGCCTTTAACCCTCTCCGTTTAAAGTTGGAGGGGGAGGAGACGAGCAAGCACCGAATTTCTACATTACGCGGAAAAAACAGTGCTAGGCAACAGCGGCTGCCTACAAGGCAAGGGCGCGCGAGTAGCCTCGCTACCGGCGAGTTTCCTCGCTACTAAAGCGCACCTGCGCGCGGGTTTCCCCGCTAGCTCGGGAGGCAGGGCCGTCCTGAGACGACCTGCCCGCCCTATACGGAGTATGTTTCTTCAGCTCGTGCTTGAAGGATTGCTGACCGGCCATTACCTGTAGGAGCAACGCGCGGTCAATACTACCTTTGGTATGACCATCGGCAGTCATATCCCGCGTGTCACACCATTGGACGCTTTCAACGATTCCGCGCTCCATCATCTGGCGGATCCAGCTGATGTGCCCAAGCAGAGTGCATTCTGTGGGCTTCTTCAGATCTTTGCTAGACAAAGACTTGAAGACAGACTCGGCATCAATAGTCAGAGTGACTTTGATACATAGACCACCCAGTTCCAATATGTTCTTCAACTGTGTGGGGGTCAATGGTCCCGAGTGTAGCTCGTGGAGCGTTACAATGGTCGGGTAGCAGTCTTCCAAGTTGTGGGCTGCTGCCAGTGTTTCCGCAGAGTAGCTCGAACGCACCTGCAGTCGATGAGACTTGCAGTATGCGTCCACCAGGTGCACGACGGGTTTCCCCGCTTGCGTGTGGCCACGCCTCAGCAGGTTAGCCCCGCGGATACCGTAGCCTTTGACTTCGTCGTCTTCATCTCCGTTGAGACGACGATAGCCAGAATCGCTATGCAGGTCGACCTCTCCTGTTGGAGTCATAGCTTGATACACGATCTTCTTCGGACCTGCCTGCAATTTCCTGGTAACCGCGTTCAGTCGTCG